AGTAATTTCTTTTTGTGTATTTTATATCAGTAATTTTATCATGTTCTTACTCAAATTACAGTTTATTCCTGCCATATTTCCCTCTTTTTAATGACTAGTTTGTTGACATCAGGTTCATATCTGAACAAGCCACTTTCTGAAGCCCCACTGAATTTTTACACTCTCAGGAACTGATCATGGAGGCCTCATTTAGACTGCCCACTCAGAACCGTGCTGTCAACTTGAAGGACTGGTGAATCTTAAATGCAAAATCTACAGGAAGTAATTTCATAAGACTCCGTTTTATCACTCACTTTGGTGTATGATAATACAGTACTTTCTGGACTTTCTGTATTTACCTGGCAATACACCATTATTATTTAAATGCCTTAACTGGGAGAATTATGGAAAGAAAAAAGTGACATGTTACATTAACAGAGAAAAGTTGCATCTCAGGTTTTAGAAGGATAGGTTGAAACTATTAACCTCTCTTCATTTCCAACCATCAAAAATGTCCAACAGATGACTACTGTTTCTTACCTTTATCTTATGTCACTTTTGAAATATCCCTTTTTAAAGATAAATGGGCCTGAATCTTAGCTGGTGTGAGTGGACACTATTTTACAGGAAGCTGAATTTAAACCCCAAAGAATAATAAAAAAAGCATTCTCTTCCCCTCATTTTAGTAGATTGTTCTCAACAGGTTGTTACAGAAATTAGGATCCAAATTGTGCTCCAAAATCCAGTTGTGAAAATGCATTTCACTGTGCTTTGGCAGTGGTATATAACTGCTAGTGAAACTTAGCTTGGAATGCACTCTGTGTGTGCCTGGGCACGCACAAGGTTAATATTACACATCATCTTCTACCACAGGATGGAATAACTTAATTACTTCAAAGGCCTATAATAATCATGAAACACATAGTTCTCATTTCTATAAAAACACGGGGGGGGGTTGGTTAAATTTTCTTTTGCCGTTAATATAATAAAACCGTAGAGTTATAAAATACTGTGCTGGGGTCAATAAATGCATAACAAAGCAGAGCTCTTTACTTTTTTTTACTACAATATTTATATAAACTGTTGAAATTTACAGAGGCTTTGTTGTTTTTGTTGTTGTTGCTCTGGATTCATTCAACCTCAAGCACTGTTACTTCTTAAACAACCAAAGTTACATCTGGCCTATATATAGTTAAGTAACCAAGCCTGTGACTTATAGTGAGCTTTGTAAAAAACACAACAAAGTGCTTGATTCTTCCCTCTGGCATGAGGACATCACTTGCCACTACAAATGGTGAGGACCAAGACCTCCAAGCCAGAATGTATGTGCGAAAACCATTGGCTCCTTACACAACAACTCATTGCCTCATCTTGCTATCAACTTTCTGCTTCTCATGTTGAATTCACTGGTTTAAGGTGCTTTGTGTAGGGAGCTTGAACAAAGTTATGGTCTTATAAGGAGGCTTTTGGAAGAGGAGAGAGAGAGGAGAGAAAATATTATGGTCCTGAGCATGCTGTGTGACACTGTTTTCATAGCTGGATGTTCCAACGGAATGCTATTCTTACTAGGCAGCTGTAGGAAAAGACTTAATCCGATTGTTACTCAGGTTTTAAATTCACATTTAACTCTTGAGACATGCTTTTGTTGTATTTTTTTTTTCCTAATTGTGAAACACAACTGTAAATAATTTTATAATATAAAATATGCAGCATTATTTAAAATGAATAATATAATTTCAATAAACTTAACTGAGAAACAAAGTTAAATCGTAAATGTCATGAAATAGACTAGTCAATGATTGCCTGTCAGTTACAGAACTATTTAACTTGTGTAAGATTACTAACATAAAAATGACATAATTCACTGCAATTCATATGCCATCACCTTTGTAGCATTTCTGAAACTTCAAAATGAAAATGAAAATGTTCGTGTGACTAATAAGAAAGAGAAAGTTAATAAAATATGTATATTAATGAAAAAAAAACCATATCCTAGAAAAGCCATAATCAAAATACTATTTTCTTATTTATGAATCCATGTATTTGATAAAGATTGCATAATTTAAGACTTCTGACACATCAGATGATGTTATTCAGCCTCAAAATAATTCTGAAATTATAATTACTGGTAGAGTATTCTTTCTAATTAGAGTAGAATGAAAGGATAATTTTCATTGCAATAATGAAGGTTAATTTCCATCCTTCCTCATGTTTACTACCTTATTAAAAAGTGCTCCCCTTAGCCATGGCAGAGACATATTACATTTTCAATGCAAATGTATTAATCTGGATAAATTCCATATTAATTCTTGCACTGCACAGAGCTGTAATTTGGATTATAATTAATCTAAAGTGGCACTAGATTTAAATGACAATATAAATGAGGCATTAGTAGGCTTTTCTGTTCTGAATGAATATTCAACAAATATAACTTGCATATTGCCAAGTCTCCTTTTGAAAGCTCTACTCCTTGAGATAAGGTAAGTAATACAGCACAACATACTGCTACTAAATACATGTTAATCCTTTCTCTTCTAATAGATTCAATGCTAAAGAGGGGTCACATCACTTTCCTGTCTAACTTGTTAGTATTGTGATTAATTTATTGGTTTTCCTGAGATTTCTTTGGCAAGACTTGCAACACTCAATTCATGGGAAAACCCAAATTAATATTCAATTATACATAAGCAGTTATGCAGTCATTAAAAATACTTGTCAGATGAGTGAAAATTAAGATGATGGTCTGGATGTTAGATATGCAGAATTAATTCAGATTAGGAAAATAAAAGTTTCTAAAAGATTAAGGATTTTACACTACAAACTATTTTCTGCAAAGCACAAAGGCAATCATCTATTTCAGCCTTTGTTTTTATATGAATCTTACTGCAAAGTTATTTGTGTAATTGCTGGCATGGGAATGCAAAACAATTATGCTGGTTTTTTGTAGTGCACCCAGTAGGCATCTGTATATAGGTTTGTCCTAATTAAAGTTGGCCCTTATGAGCAACTAATCCTGACGGAATTTTGAGAATTCCCCTTCAGTATTTTTTCTAGATTTCTGGCCCCTCCCACCCCCCTTTTTTTTTTTCTTCTCTTTTTTTCTTCTGGGAGCTGTAATACTGTATTCTTTCTGAATAACTATAAATGGAACCTGCCTTAAGAAAAAGAGAGGGCTGATAAACTCAGTGAAGTAGTTCACAGTGTCCCCTAGGCAGTGTGTGGAGGAAAATACAGACTACAGGTGGTTGTCACCCCTCTCCTGGTGAGTGTCCAGTACAACCCCTGATGAAACTGCACAGGACCTATGTCAGCTTGGTAGCATGCTTTTACTGCACTGCAAACAGTTTTTACCAAGTCAGAGAGCCAGCGAAGGGGGACGTGTACTTTAAGGCATGACAGCTACTTGCTTAACATCATTCTTGTCATTATCAGCCTTTTTTCAGCCTCTTGATCTCAAAAAATAAAGTGACTGTAGAGCAGCTGAAGTTCTAAACTGTGATGGGCACTGACCGTAAGAAAACTTAAAGGAAGCTTTAATCTTTAAGTCAGTCTTCTGAACTGACTAGGCATAGGAAAGGTAATCTAGAACACATTTTTGGAAAGAAAAAATATTAAATTAATATGTAAAGAGCAAATTACAATATGAGAGAATTTGGGTGTAAAAAAACTCCAATGCAAAATTATTTTTTTTTTACAACTATATGTCTTTACAGAGAATACAACCTCCTTTGTATGCTGCTGTCATTGGCATACAAGGAAAAGATATACGACTACCTGAAACTAATAGGCTTCAACCTGTTTCAGCACTTCTGCTTCAGTGAATCCAACAAAATGTAACTAGGTATAGCGTGCGGCAAAAGTAGCCAATGTAATATTCATTGTGACCATAGATTTCCATCTCATACATAAAAAAGCATGGATGAAGTCACATATTTGCCAAATCAAACACAGAAAAAGCCTTGGGTATCTACACCAGATGCTGGCCCTGGGTTTGTTTGTGCACAAGTAAATGTCATGACATAGAGGTTTTGTTTTCAAAGACAGTAGCTTTCATTACTGGGCTTTGTCTATTCCAGGAGATCAAAATTACCCAACCCATAATCCGTTTTCAATGATATTTCCTCTTTCTTAGGCTGAATCATCTGTAAACTTTTTCACTGGATTTTGTGTATTTTTTTCAAAATGCCTCAAATAAATGCACAGGAAGACGCCAAATTCTTGGGAGTAACTGACCAGAGAGCAGGAGCAAAAACAAACAATAACAAAAAACCCCACATTCTTTGGGTTGAAAGGGGGGCAAAACCTGACTGAAGAAAAAATCCAAGTGGTACCTAATCCTATGCTTATGAAAAATTAATATGCCATCAGAGGAATCACAAGTACAGCTAAGATTAATGAAAGGCGCTTAAAAAATTACAAGCACACAAACTGATTTGATTAAAAAATAATCTCACTGGTCGTCCTGTAATATTCTTCAACTTATCCGCATCTATCCTGTCAGATGGTTATGATTAAAAATAGGTCAATGGGAGGCTACTGATAGAAATCACATGCAAAATGCACATGCAATGAATAGTAGTGGGAATGTCCAGACAGTTTAAAATGAAAGAGCATTTCATAAGTTAAAAAAAAAGGGGAAGACAAAATTCTAGCATCTTACCAGAGTCTTTACTAGATTTTTTGCCTTCACTATTGTCTCGCTCACTTGAGTCTTTATCATCAGCCACGGCCACTGATGTACTTTTAGCAGACCCTTCTGTGTCTTCACCTTGTTCTTCTGTGGATAAACACAGAAAACATCTCAGAAAACAAATTCAGTGACCATTTCATAGCAGTTAAAAAATAAGTCCTGTAATAAAAACTGCACTAACAGAGGGTGGCAAAATGGGGCGAAGGAGGGGTGGAGGGGAAGAAAAGGAAAAGAACAGTACTTTAAAGAGGTTGGACATTAATTACAAATAATTTGCAATATTTTGAAATCTATCAAGAAATCCTGTTCATGTCTTTATCAGAGTTCCTGGTTTCCACCAGTGTGACAGATTTAAAGCCTGAATTTCATATTCTTTGGCTAGAAATAATTTGTGTTAAAATATGCGCACAGGCATGCACACACACAAGGCAGAGGCTGGAACAAAAGCAAGCTCATGTAAAAATGTATCTTGGAGCCAAAAAAAAAAAGAAAGAAAAAAAAAGGGAGGGAATTCGAATATAAATCCTATTAGTGCAGCAGTATCCCGCTAATTGCAGTAAGTATTAGGTATTAGGTACTGTATTAAATATAAACCTCTGGCTTCACAGAAGAAGTCTCAAATTTTGTCTCCAGAGGGAGCCAGTCAGGATAAACGATGCAACTTGGTACATGGCTTCTGAGGAAGCAGCATTACCCACACCTCACTTACGTGTTCACACCAGCTAGATTACATGGAAATCTTCACAGTAACTCAAGCCCATTTAATTATTCGGTAAATCTTAGCTATGCTGCTACTGGTGGATTAATCTGTTTATGCAGTTAGCTTCTATGCTGGGGCTGTGTAGCACTAATCCGTGAAAGGCCCACTGTTCCTTTTCATCCTGTGATCATTTGTCTCTCACTGTGCTGATGTCACTTTTTAATGAATTTTTAGCAATCTGAGTAATGCCAGATAACCAGACTTGCAACTCCCTACAGCACAGCATGCTGTTTTCATTGCAGCACACACAAAAAATAAAAATCATATTTCCCAATTCAGGTAGGAATTATATAAATTAGGAGGTGAAGGTAAAATGGGATTCAAAGCACTGGGCCACTCAATTTCATAAAATCGTTAATGACCGTATAAATTAACCCTGGAAAGGCAAAAGGTCACAGACACACATTTGCATACACTCTTCTATTCACTTTTGATAAGCAGAGCTTTTATGCGAGGAACATGATACAATTAACCCTTCAGGAACCATACAAAATGCAGCTACCGACATTTCAAGTGTCAAGCATTAACTGAAAATTACACACTGCATAAAATTTTCATTGTAAATGCAATAGTGATTGAAAGGGGAAATAGTGGCCCTCTTCGCACCCCATGTTTTATTAATAACATTCTGACAGCCGAATGAAATATCCTCTGTCATATGTAGCAGCTGAGCACAAAAAAATTGCTGCTTAGTGCCTTACTTGCCAGCCATGCACTGAAACTGTATGCCTAGGCAAACAACCCTCAGATCGATGTGGCAAACCCATTCGATTCTCAACTCTCTGCTAAACCTTTTGTAAATGGGAAGAGAAAAACAGCTGCAATTTTGGAAACCAAACCAAACAAACAAAAAAAATTCACAACCATGGATCAATGTGTTTTGCATTGACATCAAAACACAATAGGTTAGGACTAAGCATGCATGTCCACTTTTTGGAACAATACAGGGAGAAAGATGGTCCTCTCTTTTAAAAATGATGGTCCCCTCTTTTAAAAATGATTGTATATAGAAACAGACATTTCCATCAGAATGGAAACCCCCCTCGTGCTTCCAGAGCTCTCCCCCCTGCCATTCCCCATCCTCCTCTGTGATGGTAGCTAATCAAACATGGTAGGCATCCCTGTCGCAGCTGGAAGCGGGGCTGTGTTTGTCAGGGTGGCAGGGGAGCAGGGTTCGGGATGCTGCGAGCCTGTGATCATGCCTGGCTCGGGCTGTGTTAATGCTGGGTGTGCACACATGAGGCTTGTATCCAGTGTCAGGCCCTGTGGCCTCGTGGAGCCGATGGCAATCCCTTTTCGACTCATCCTTGGGAATGGATGCATTGCTTCTTTTACTAGATTTACTGGCCCAATCCCCCTGGGCTGGAAAATGAAGTGTCAAAGTGCTACTGAGTGTCCTTATCTTGAGGGGACATAAAATTGTAAGGGCTATCGTGGCACACATTAATAAAACATTGTGTGTGTGTCAGGCAAAGAGAAAGAAAATTATGAAGGTACTAAAAGCAAAGCTACAGTATCATCTGGGTCTCATCAGACAATTTTTGCAGGGTGCTCTCCTGTTTTTCTGGTATGTGTTTTAAGTGTGAGAGAAATTCCCAGACAAGTTCTCCTATACATCATCGTGGTGTCTGACCTCAGCCTGACCCTGGCAACAGTTTGAGAAATCTGAATGTGAACAAAGACTCTGTGTCAGCAGCAGGGAGAGATTGCGGGATAGACTTTCCCCATCAACTTAATCGCAAACAGCAGTTCTGAGGCCATAACTTTACAGGGCTCCACCAAGCCACAAACACGTAACCTTTAGAGGTGAAACTGCCCCCTGCTCCCCACCCCCCCTTCTGTGATTTTTCTCAGTCTTGTGGTGCTCCCTTTGATGTAGCAAGGCAATTAGCTCTAATGTTCAAGTACTGCAGACCTGTTTTATGGTTTGGAAGGTGAGAGCTGTTTATTACAGGTAGGCTCCTGGGGGCCATAAAGGCTTTGCAAATTTTTAATCATGCAAAAAACTAATCAAAATGTAACTTATACACACCATAAAAATTAATATCATTATTATGCACAGTATAAATTGCCTGCCCTGGTTTTCCATGGCATTCACTTCTAGAAAATACATTTGGCATTCATTTCAGAAATATGCATGGCATTCACTTCAGAAATAAATTTCATAGACAGAAATGATAATACAAAAACTCCTATTTTCTTTCAAAATTACAGAAAGGCCGTCTAGGATTCACACTGTCACGACATTTATCAAAGGGACAAGATGGAAATACAACAGCTCTAACTTAAAAGAAGTTAGCAAATTTAAAAAACGAAATAAAAAACCCTTAAGACCATTCATTAGAACAGATGTGACAAAGTGTGCTACCAAATACTCAACATACTTGTGCCAAGATGCTACATCTCTTTTTAGTAACGTTTTTGTTCTTACTTCATATGCTAACCAAGAAAGGTACTACTCAGTAAAATATTCATAAAAATATGATGGCCCCTGCTCAAAGACAAAAAATTAAGAATTATTATGTATCAAAAAAATGCAACATGATGGTGCTACAGATTCCAGTCCTAATGTTCTGTTTTAAATTTACAAGAGTTCTGCCTATATACATTTACAAATGTCAGCTTTGAAAATGAATAGAACACCGGATTCAAGTGTACTTTAATGGCTTTAATAACACTTACTATTGCAATATGATACTATATTCACACCTGGTTTTATTTTGTCCAAATGTTGAAAATTTTGTTTGAAGTTGAATCTCTTGAGTTTAGCCATTATCAACCTTTTTATTCACAACTGACTTAGAATTAAACACAAAAATGAGGTTAGTGGTCTGCACTAAAACTATAAAATAAGGGAAAATGGAAAAGATAAGCTTCAGAGGTAATGTTAATCATCTGCTATTGCATATTACACATTCTACGTCATAGACTTTAATATGTTAATCTCCATTCTCAGGCCCCAAGCCTATACCAGTTTTACAAACGAAGACCATTATGACCTTCTCCAGCCCAATGAAGTCAAGATGTGTGATGAGTTAGATTGCAAAATCCAGTCCTCAGCCAAAGCTGCACAGCAGATAGCAGCAGAAAAATTAGATCAATATTCATACACAGATTAGAAAAGCCTGACTTACTGAGATGAAAATAAAGGAAAAAATGCATCCAGCACAGCCAAGGGACTGTATAGGGGAAAAAAATAGTATTTATGAAATAAACCACTGAGCAGCTAAACCAAGACATGGCTGCGTTCTAACAATCTAATTTAAATGCATTGTGATAATCACAAAGGCATATCAATCAGCCTTCCCTGTATTTGATCTCAGAAGTTTCCCTATAGCACTGTGAGTCTGCCTTCAAGTCTATGTAAGAAACATACTATTTTCAAGGGTTGATTATGGTTGGGTTTACATCACTAATATCCCATTCAAAAGCCAATAGTTCCTGTTTTAGTTCTGGATTTTGTTGTTGTTGTTGGTATCCCCTTCGTCCTCTCCAAATTGCAAGTAATTTCCTAAATAAGGATGATCTACTAGTTGTGGGTGAGTAATTGTGGTTAGGAGAGAGAAAGCAAGATTAAGCAAATGTTTGTGGCTGAGGGCCGGATGGATGGGGAAAGAAGAAATCAATTGACTGAAGTAGTAAGTAAATAAATACGAGAGAGAGATTTTTTAAAATAATAGGCTGTTTTGTTTTTTTTAATTCAATATGTTCAATAAACAGCTGAATCAAAGGTACCCATTAGTGTTCAGTACAGGTATATTCCAGGTTCAACTGGTAGAGTGAATGGTTTATTGAGATTAACTGTCAGGATAAAAAGATAACTACTAGCAAAGGATAATGGAAGGGTGGGTTGGAGGGGTGGACAGACAACAGATGAGTGTATGGAAAGGAGGAACAACAAAAGGAAATAAAGAAAAAACCCACAGAATATGCAAGAGGGGGAAAAAATGCCTAAAAGCAGGGCTTGTGGATTTACTTCCAGATTATTTTAGTTACACTACTTACTTGATAAATTCTCCCTGACTTCTGGATTGCCATTTTTTTCCACCCAAATATTGCAGAAAGTATTTGTTTTATTTTCTGCCTGGTCTTGCAGAGCATGAGTGAGGAACAGGATGCCTCACTCATTCAGCATCTTGACTTCATCCTCTAGTGGTCATATTTCACCTTCAAATACGATTTCTAATTTCTCATTTAAGGACTTAAGGGGAATAACGGCACCAACACGTTAATAACTGCTTCTAATCACTGTGTTATATTTAGAACTATAGCTGTTTGAAAGCTGAACTTCTCACAGACAAGCCTATAATTAAATGATGATGGTCAT